CAGTCAGGCTATTGACTTTCCGCGAATCTAAGCAAAGGCGAACTTTGTTGCTCTTTCTAACTAAGACGACCGGGCTAGACCACGGACTGTTTGGTGCTTCCTCGATAACTCCCAACTTCAACATCTCATCGATTTCCGCATGCACTAACTTTTCTACCGCTGGCGATATCGGAAACCATCTTTGCTTCACCGGACGTGCATTAGGCTCAAGCTCAATAACGTGCTCCATTAAATGGGTTTTCCCTAATCCTTCTTTTTCAAAGTTTGGAAACCGGTTTATAACAAGGTTTAGCTGACGTTCCTGTTGGACAGACAGAGGAATTGCATCTTCTCCTACACAATTCTCTTTAGAAACGCAACTGATCTCAGGTATAATCCCAGGAGCGATTTGGAAATTTCCCCAAAAATCAACTCCTAGAATCAGTTTTTGATTAATGCTCGGAATAATAAAAAAAATTATCTTTTTACTCTCATTGTTAAATTTTACATCTAGTTCAATATTGCCAAATACAACTTGTTTCTGACCATCGGCTGTACAAACGTATACTTTGTGTTGCCGAAGGTCCTGCTTTCTACACAATTCCTCAGCTAACGAGCCCCCTATACAGGAAACCTGGGCTCCACTATCAAGAAGACCTAAACAATTCTGACCCAATATCTCCACTTCCGCGTATGGCCGTATGTCGTTACACTTATGTTTAATTGAACATAGGAAGTTGCTTAGCATTTTCCTGTTTGACCTCACGTTTTTCCAAAAGTGTTTTATGCGACTAGAAGAACGGTTGGGATTTGTAACAACGCTATCTTTTTCTTTATCAAAAATTCTGGAACGTATTTCGCTGTAATTACGTGGGCGAACATCATAGGGTATTATGTTTGTTAAAAGTGGACTTTTCTGAGTATTAGGTGCATCTTGGCGTGTTAAAAACTTTTTTATGTCTTGTGTTTTGTGTCGTAGCGAGGATTCTGGTGGAGAACCTCGCTCTTCTGTAAGTTTTCCGACCTACATTTGGTGCAGTTGGGCTTGTATATTCCCGGAGAACCGCAGCCGTAGCAAAATATTGTCCTATCTGCAAGACAGTCGAAAAATCTGTGCCCTTCCGCACGACAATACCAGCACACTAAATTAGTCTTGTTTGTATTTTTATGTATGTCATCGATCTCAACTACTTCATCTACTCCCTCTATGATATCGTCATTGTCGTACAGTTCGTTTATAAGACGACGGGGTAAATGTCGCTGATTTTGGGGTGGCACAGTGGGCACAATTGATTTTGAGACTTCGTTTAAAAGATTTTCGCCTTTCAGGCACAATTTACGCAGTTCTGCAAGTGAGGTTACGGGTACGTATAGTAGCTGTTGTCGAATGCGAGGACGCGAATTCCTCTGAAGGATTTCAACGAGCTCTAACTCAGGTAAAGGTATTTGTAAACCCTCCGCCAATTTTAAGATAGCATTTCGGAAATCGTCAAAACTTTCGTAAAGGCATTGCTTTCTAGCTCGAATCAACTCTTTAATTTCCGTATCCGTTCTGTGTTCTTGGAAATTTGTACGAAGTGCTTGACATAATGTTGGCCATGTCACCCGCTCGACAGACCGCCTGTAACGCCAATACCAATCCTTAGCTTCATTGGTGAAGAGGCTTTGTACATGCTCACATAATACGTTGAAATTACCACCTAACGTGTCTATTAC